GGAAGGGAGTGGGGAGGGAGAACAGGATTAAGGGGCATTATACTTAGCACACACAATATAGGTAGTCACAGGGAAAGCAGTATAGTACAGAGATGACAAGTAATGACACTATAGCATCTTATCACACTGATGGATAGTGATCGCAATGGAGTGTGTGGGAGAATATAGATGAATGTTGAAACCGCAATGTTGCTCATGTGAAACCTTCGTAAGATTGTATATCAATAATAACTTAATTAAAAAAAAGAGAAGAGAGAAATCCCTAGTATGCTCAGAATTTTTAAATATTTATGCAAAAAACCCCTCATCATGTCCACCTTAAAAACTAAAAAGTATATATATCTAATTATTCTTAATATTTTAAGTTAAAATATTTCAGACTGATTTTTTATAGGAATTTTTTACCTTTCACTCACTAACTTAAAATACTTTTAATTCTATTAAGATGACATGATTAAATATTTCTCATTTATCTATGGCCATTTGAGTAGTTTAAATAATAAATTAAATAATTTAAATTGATAGTTGAGATTTTTACTTCACAACGCTTGAGTAAGGGCAAAGAAACACTTGGAAATGAAATTTATCACATTTTGAGAAACCTTGTTCAAAATGTTTGCAAATATTAAACAAGTACATTTGCTAGAACACCCTTCTTTTTCAAATGAATAATGAATATGTAGGAAATTTCACCGAGAACAACAACTTGCAAAAATTACATTTTTTAAAGGGGTGCACTGGCTCTGAGTTTGACTTTTGCTTTACAATGGTAACTAACTGGTTAATTAAAGCTTGTGTGCTTATAGAGCATGCATGGCAGAGAGGTGACGAAGTCTAATATACAAATGGTGAAAACTAAAGAATGAAAACAAGCTTTGAAGTTATAGTCGGTGGGGATACTTGTTTGTCTTGGTTTTGGAGATGAGTGGAGGCTTTGAAGAGAAAAAATGATGTCTGAGAAGTCCTAACTAAGGTTATCCTTCAGTTAGAAAGATACGGGAATTCAAATTACCTGCTTGTAAATAACTCTAAATATAACAATCTTTGGTATTTTATGTAAAGAGAACTGTTATTAGTGCCCATAGTTCCTGTTGAAGGATTTTGAAATGCTTCTAGAGGAATACAGTTTATATGTAAGCAACACTAATTGAGTTTATATTATATATTATTTATATATATAACTTTATATATAAATTCTACTAATTGAGATAAATTTTGAGTTCATAATAAATTTAAAAAAGAAGAGAATTCAGCTGAATACAAAAATATAATCCAGAAATATAAAATTAAGAAGCCCAATAGAAACTAGAGACATTGAAATAATCTGGTTAAGAGTATAGTATAGCTATTCATGTTTAATGTAATTAAAGACATTTAAGATGTTGTCAAAATATTTTAAAGAGTCAAGAACTTTTCAGAAATGATATGGAGTTTTCAGAATAACCAAATTGAAAAACAAAAAAGATAGGTAACTGGTATTAGAAATTTAATTAATGGCTAGTATTAGACAGACATGAAGAGAGAAGTGGTGAATTGGAAGATAAACATTAAAGGAAATAGTCACAATGAAAGATATAAATGTAAAGGAAAAGAAATTATGAAGGAAAGGTTATTGGTGACATGGGTGGAATAGAAACTGAGTCAAGTAGTTTTAGAAAATGTTTTTTTGACTGGAAATTATAATGCCAGAAAGAACTGTTAGTGAGTTTTACATATGGATATGAATTAGCAATTCTGAAACAATTTGAGATGCATTATAGAGTTGAGCAAATTAGTTAATAAATTGCAGATAATGATAGTCAAGTTTTTCACTTTCAAAGAAAGAAATTGCAAGAAGCAGTGGGAGAGAAAAGGCTAATATGAAACTTGTGGTGAATTAGCATTGGAGACACACCCCTACATTAATCAATACATGCATATCCACATAAATATCTATATAACCATGTCTGTCTTTTTATCTATCTACCTATCTTCTAACTATCTATCTAACTTGACCATCTATGAGTTCACTCTAACACCTCTAATTCCAATCCAACATCTAAGAAGCTGTTTCTTTGTATTATTGTTTGTTTATCCTAGTCTTCTCTTTTTTCCATATTTGCAAAGCCTTTCCCTAAGAATGAGAAATTGAATTTCTATTAATCCCAATGTATTTATTTCCTAAATAACCTTATATGTCCCAACCAAATTAGTCACCTGCTTGACTTCTGACTCCATCATTGATTCCTTGATGCTAATGTGGTCTCTTCTATGGCTGTACCATTTCTTTTCCTTTTGTCTTTTTTTCTTCTTCTATGGTATTTTATTTAATGTTTATTTTTTTATTAAAATGTAATTAATTGTTTTTTTAATGGTAAATTTTTTTTTTTTTTTTTTTTCTAATTTTTTTTTTTTAATTACTTCCTTTTTCTAAGCTTAATAATCTATTGGCCCTACCTTAATACAGCTGGCAGAAATTCAAACTGAATTTGGAGAATTTACCTCATTCTCCATGAAGAGTAAAATGTCTGTGGGTAAAATTGCAATATTTCCAGAATCTCTCACATGGCTTTAGTGCATCTCCATACAGTAGGTGCTTCCAAAGGGTATAGAGAAGTAATCCATCACCATATCAGTAAGTAATTACAAGGGCGAGAGATTACCAGGGCTTATCTGGACCCAGAGAGGTTGGGTGGGGGCCTCTTCTTTTGCAGCTGTGGCAAGAAAGTACGAAATAAACTGGTTTCCCCCACTTTAGTTTTCCCTTTGACTGATTGCAGTTTCAAAGGTATTTTGCCCTAGGATTTCCCCCCCACCCCCGCCCCAGAGTTACAATGCTGAAGGAATCTTACATAGTCTGTAAATTGCAAAGAGTATTCTCTATCTTTATACTGGTTATGATGAAATGACTCCTGCATAAGCACACTTGGTCTTTTGAAGGCAGAGGGCTCTGCTTTTCTTATTCCAACTATGAAATGTAGGCATTGGCAGAGACTTAGAGTCTTAAGTGTTTTCAAGTATGTCAGCATAATGGCTGCACCATGCAGTCAGTTCATTTAAGTTTTATTAAAGGTACCTATTTTTAGGTACCTGTTTTGTTCCACACTTCTGGAAGCTGTCAAAAACTTCTCTCTTCACCATAGATCTTTTGTTTCTATCTTTGAAGACCATCCCAATTTCAACTAATCAGACTAATTTTCCTTTACGAACCTACATATTCCAGAATAAAGCTTCTGGGAGATTTTTAATTTTTTTAGGAGTCTGGAAATTTCTGATTTGAGCTCTTAATACCAGTAACACAACATTAACAATTCATGGATTTGAAGATGTAGAAGGGATTGGCTATTTGGAATCAGAAATCATTTAGTATTCCAAAACAAATGTACCTTTTACAGAATAATATAAATTAATATTAAATACATTTTCTAGAAAATAAGTTAACATTTATTTTTCTTTTTGTAAGGAGTGATTGTTAGTAGCAGTCCTGATATTGTAGGGTGTTCTCTATATTTGGAATAGAAGAATCTCTAAATGGAAAGCCTAGTTCACACATAAGACAGACAAACTTGTAGTACAACCAGGTATAAAAGCCCAGTATTTATTTAAAAAGATAGTCAGAAAATACACCAGAGATGTAATGGCAGATGGGAGTAGTGGACAGAATTTAAAATAGGAAGTTGTTATTAGTGAAATCTTAGTAATTCCACCTGAGATTCACTCTCTTACCTTGTAATCCATTTTACATTTTAGTTTAACTCAAGGTTTTCTTTTTTATTTGAAAAATGGTTTCCCTGGGAAGAATAATAAGGAAAATAATGTAAAATTTAGAAAAATCACTGCTCTAGAAGCTTTTTAAAATATCTAGACATTTTATTTGCCTGCTCTGTGAAGTACTGAAGTCCCCTTAACAAAATATAATAATTTAATATGTTCTCAATTTTAGCAAAATAAGCATACATGTATTTTAAAACATGTTAATGTTTTAGTATTTTTTCTAATTAGTTTGCATAAATTTATTTTATTTTAAAATTATTAATATGTGTTTTGAAATGCCTTAAATGGGTATTAAATGGATAATGCTCAGGATTTGACAGTTTATGGACTCAATTTTTTTAGCACATTTAAAAATATAGCTTTAGTTTTATTTGGCCATTGAGACTAATTTGGGGCAAGAAATGATGAACCATATGCATTTAGAGTTACTCATCCCTGAAAATGTACTTTAAACTCTGTTATATATAAACAAACAGTGGGATAGCAAGTACATGAACTTAAAGTGTTTTTAAGTGCAGAGAGTTTTTTCTTTTGATTTTAAAACTTTATTTGCAGACATGCATCAAACTAATGATAAAATGAAGTTTTCTATCTTATTTTTAATTAATCCTTAGTATTTCTGGTAATATCCATATTTATATTTAATATCCATGTATGGTATGATCTGTTGCATTAAATATCATTATGGAATGATGCCTTCCTTCTAATTTTACTTTGATTAATAATTCAAATTTTAAAGGAGTTCCTGGGATTTGGTTGTTAGTGAAAGAACTAAATTCTCTGTAATATATCAACACATGTGAGGCATGATTCTTCCAGCCATTTTAAAGTATATATATATACTAAATATATTTTTTAGTATCTTTGCTTTTAGATCACTGAAACATTATCTCATAGCTGCTGTGTTTAATAGTCCCAGGTTAATGAAGAGACTTTACAATAGATTATGCACCATGTACAGACTAAGAAAAAGGGCTGCTTTAGATATTTTTCTTCCCATGATTAGCCTACATTTCTATTTTCTGCCCATCAGAAATGCTTTTTAAAGATTAGTAATATTACTGATTATTAATGCCTAAAATCCAAGTTTTTCTCTTATAGCCAAGTAAATTTGTAGATTTTTCTTTAATTTTAGAGGACATTTTCCCCAAAAACATCATTAAAATACAGCCCAAACCATTTCATATTACTAAATTTAAAAATATAGTCAATAATATTGTACTATACACTTAAAAATATGCTGACGCTGCTCACCTCAGTAGCACATATATTAAATTGGAAGGATACAGAGAAGATTAGCATGGCCCCAGTGTAAGTATAACATGCAAATTTGGAAAGTGTTCCATATTTTAAAAAATTTTTGTTAGGAAAGATTTCATATCAAGTGTTCTCACTGTGATAAAAAAATATTTAAAATAATATTCATAAGTCAGAAAGTGACTTTATGGAATATTGTAAGATATTACCATGGCACAAATAATAAATTTTTATACAAGTAGCATGCCATGTAATCTACTTCCACATATAGTATATTACATGTCCTATATTTTATTCTTGAAAAAAGGAGTATGATATTAGAGTTACTTCCCAAATGTCCAGAAAAAGTAAAGTAAAATACTGAAAAGAATTCAAGTCTTAAGTTAAAATAATTCAATGTATAACAGAATTCACCCTGTAAATTTAAGACACTTTAATATGACATTTATTACTAGTAGTCATCATTATTTGAAATGTAGGTACCAGGTCACCAACTGAAAAATAAGCTTTATGTGCATTAACTCACTTCAGTCTTTCACTGAATGTCATGACCTTGATACTTTTGAAATTACAGGCCAGTTGTTTCTGAATGCCTGTCAGTGATGTTTCTTAATGATTAAATCCAGTTTATACACCTTGGGCAAAAGTGTGTGATGCTTTTCTCATTACATACTAGTGGGTGTCACATGATTCTGATTTGCCCCATCATGATGATTTCTTGATTAAGGTTATGTCTGGCAGGCTTCTCCATTATAGAATTCTTTGTTTTCCTTTGTACTTAAAAATATTTTGTGGAAAGTACTTTGAAACTATGTAAATATCTATTTCCTCATCAATTTATTTGTATCCTTATCAGCTCACAGTTTTCTCATTAAAACTAGTAGTAGCCCTATCATTGCCTATCGGTGATGCTCAGATTGTACTAGATTTGATCTGTGGGTGTATCTCAACCTGACTTGTGTATCTCTTGACATGTGTCATCACTCTTAATTCTTTATTGCACACAGGATATTTCACACTCATCTTGTTCTTTTAATGAGATTGAACTTCAATCAGTCATTTCTCTAAGATTCTTGGTTTTGTTTTGTTTAAAGGAGGATGCCATTTAGTAACTAAGTTCTAGGCTCTAGGTATGATATTGCAGTTTTTAGGCCCTCCGATACCAGGCAGGGAATAGGCCCATATAGTTATGTGGATTTATACTGCTACATCCAGTTCTAATCCAGAATCATCAGGCTTAGTTCAGTTTTTCTCCTTTCCATATTTATAACCCCCATCACTGACAGTGAGAAACTTGATTCCATTATCCTTAATATGTTTGCTTACTCAACAATAGGGCTTCCGTAACAAAATATCACAGACTGTGTGGCTTAAACAACAGACATTTATTTTCTCACAGTTCTGAAGGCTAGAATTCTGAGACCAAGATGTTGGCAGGGCCAGTTTCTTATAAGGCTCATGAGGGAAGCGTCCATCTGAGGCTTCTCTCCTTGGCTTGCTGATGGCTCTCTTCCCCGTGTCCTCACATTGTCTCCCCTCCATAGTTGACTGTGTCTGTTCTTATGGCAACAATCAAATTGGATAAGGACCCACCCAAATGACTACATTTTAACTTAATCATCTCTGTAAAGCCCCTATCACTGCATTCTGAGGTACTGGGAGTTAACAATTTTAACATAAGAACTGGGAGGTACCCAGTTCATCCCATAACACCTACTAAGTGGAACCCATTTCTTATTATCTTCCCTACACCCTTTTCTGTCTGAGGGTCCTCGTTTCCTCCCTTGAACTGACAACTTGGGCTCAACAGCCATATCTGCTCAAGGACAGCTTCACTGTGAGTGCTGACAGACTTCAGAGACCAGCCTTCTACATGTAAACTCTCCTAACTGAGCTCTAACATCCTGTGTTAGGCTACGCCTTGACATAGATCCCCTCCTTATCCCAGTCCAGGCTAGCCTACTCCCACCGAAATCTCTTTCAATTTTGACCTTCCATATCTCTTTCAATTTTGACACCCCATGCCAGGGCATTCTTTGTTTTAAGTATTGCCAAAGAAATACAGAGGTTGACTGATAATCCCCCTTTTACTGTTGAAATGCTAAAGCAATCCAAATATCCCTGAACTTCTGTCAGTGATGTTTCTTAATGATTAAATCCAGTTTATACACCTTGGGCAAAAGTGTGTGATGCTTTTCTCATTACATACTAGTGGGTGTCACATGATTCTGATTTGCCCCATCATGATGATTTCTTGATTAAGGTTATGTCTGGCAGGCTTCTCCATTATAGAATTCTTTGTTTTCCTTTGTACTTAAAAATATTTTGTGGAAAGTACTTTGAAACTATGTAAATATCTATTTCCTCATCAATTTATTTGTATCCTTATCAGCTCACAGTTTTCTCATTAAAACTAGTAGTAGCCCTATCATTGCCTATCGGTGATGCTCAGATTGTACTAGATTTGATCTGTGGGTGTATCTCAACCTGACTTGTGTATCTCTTGACATGTGTCATCACTCTTAATTCTTTATTGCACACAGGATATTTCACACTCATCTTGTTCTTTTAATGAGATTGAACTTCAATCAGTCATTTCTCTAAGATTCTTGGTTTTGTTTTGTTTAAAGGAGGATGCCATTTAGTAACTAAGTTCTAGGCTCTAGGTATGATATTGCAGTTTTTAGGCCCTCCGATACCAGGCAGGGAATAGGCCCATATAGTTATGTGGATTTATACTGCTACATCCAGTTCTAATCCAGAATCATCAGGCTTAGTTCAGTTTTTCTCCTTTCCATATTTATAACCCCCATCACTGACAGTGAGAAACTTGATTCCATTATCCTTAATATGTTTGCTTACTCAACAATAGGGCTTCCGTAACAAAATATCACAGACTGTGTGGCTTAAACAACAGACATTTATTTTCTCACAGTTCTGAAGGCTAGAATTCTGAGACCAAGATGTTGGCAGGGCCAGTTTCTTATAAGGCTCATGAGGGAAGCGTCCATCTGAGGCTTCTCTCCTTGGCTTGCTGATGGCTCTCTTCCCCGTGTCCTCACATTGTCTCCCCTCCATAGTTGACTGTGTCTGTTCTTATGGCAACAATCAAATTGGATAAGGACCCACCCAAATGACTACATTTTAACTTAATCATCTCTGTAAAGCCCCTATCACTGCATTCTGAGGTACTGGGAGTTAACAATTTTAACATAAGAACTGGGAGGTACCCAGTTCATCCCATAACACCTACTAAGTGGAACCCATTTCTTATTATCTTCCCTACACCCTTTTCTGTCTGAGGGTCCTCGTTTCCTCCCTTGAACTGACAACTTGGGCTCAACAGCCATATCTGCTCAAGGACAGCTTCACTGTGAGTGCTGACAGACTTCAGAGACCAGCCTTCTACATGTAAACTCTCCTAACTGAGCTCTAACATCCTGTGTTAGGCTACGCCTTGACATAGATCCCCTCCTTATCCCAGTCCAGGCTAGCCTACTCCCACCCAAATCTCTTTCAATTTTGACCTTCCATATCTCTTTCAATTTTGACACCCCATGCCAGGGCATTCTTTGTTTTAAGTATTGCCAAAGAAATACAGAGGTTGACTGATAATCCCCCTTTTACTGTTGAAATGCTAAAGCAATCCAAATATCCCTGAACTGTCTGTCTACTATACTCAAGAAGTGTGTATCCAAAAAAGTATAGTATCCAAAAGGGCAGTCCTCTCAGTCCCAATCAGATGTGTTCTGGAAGAAAATGAATATAACAACACTTCTCAGGTATTCAAACCAGAGGCTGCCAAATCAAGTAGCTAACCAAGGAAATATTATCCACTGTCAAGTCAGGTGTTCCTTGCAGTTTCTGTCTCTTAGGAAATTTTATGAGCTTTTGTAGCATATATTTATTACACACACTGACACTAAAACAACCTTCACTGGATAATTCCACCCTTTTGGTTTTTATCCTTCCCTTTTCCAAATAAGAAAGTTTATTGTAATTGCCAGATTGTCTGTTGCAGGTAGATAAATTTTCTCTTCCGTGTATTTCACTATCCTATATATATCATAAGTCCTAAATTTGGAGCTAGAAGCAATAACTGGGTGAAAAACTACCCTTTTGTGTAGAGAAGGATATTTGGAGCATAAGTGATCAATTCTGAGAATATATGCACAAAGAGGCCAAAGTGGGTCCCATTTGCTAGGGGTTTTGCCATATGACACTGTGAATGAGAGGGCACAGAAACCAAAGGAACTTGAAAGGCCAGTGAAAATATTGTCAGTGAGTAAATACACCATGAAGCCTACCTTACCTACAGACTTCTTGTTATGTATTTGTTTCCGTGTTTTAACTTGGGGTTTATGTAATTGCCTATTTCAAGATATCCTGGCAATATGTAATCTTCAATAAAATATATCTGTAAGTGAACAAACCTCAGACATATAATAGAGTTTGCAGCATCTTTTTAGTACCTCCCTCTATTTAAAAAAAATCTTTAAAAACATTTCTGTGAAATATAACACATATGCAGAAATATGCATAAGATGTAAGGGGATAGTTTACCAGTTATTTGTAACTTTTGACACACTATGATGTAGCTTCGCACTTTTTAAATATTATACAAAGAAGCATATTGTGTGTATTCTTCGGTGTCTCAATATTTTTGGATTACAAAATGTTTGTGATATCCATGAATGCAGTTGTATCTATTTATAGTTCATTTACTTTATTACATAAATGTCTCACAACTTTTTTTCTTGTACGTAAGACAGACATTTGAGTTGTATACAGTGTTAGGCTTCACTAGAGAATGCTCTTTTGAATCTTTTGTGCATTTTCTTCTGGTATAAATAATGCCATGTTCTACTGTGGACAGACCCCAGGAAAAGTAAATGGATGGGAATGTATGCATACTTTCAGCTTGTCTTTGCAAATGAGGCCTATTGGAAGTTAGGTTTTTGTTTTTGTTTTTGCTTTTTTTTTTTCTGGGAAAATAATCTTTTGCCCAGGAATCCGGAGAAGCCCAAAATTATAGTGATCAGCTCATTAAAATCTCTCTTTTTGACTCTCAGTACATCAGATGGTGGGAGGTGTG